ACAGACACTCACACATTCACACACAGACACATACACCCCCCCACACACACACTCACACACACACTCACACACACACACGCACCTCATTCCATTATTTTGCTCTTTAAGAAAACCATAGTCACATTCTTAAACATTTTTATGCTAAAAATATTTTGTTTCAAAAGAACTTATTTATACAATGTAGCTTTCAACTTTACAGTTGCTTGTACCTGACCTGTTGGCTACTTCGAATCTGCTCACTCTATATAGCATGTGATTATTAGGAATGCATGGTTAAGTAATTTTCTAGAAAAACCAGCCATCCAGGGCCTGCTGTCTGATAGTTGTATGCCAATGTATACGTTACCCAATAGATGGGCTAGGAAGCAAACAGATTAGTCTTAAATTATGAGAAATATTAAAAAGTCCAAGACTACGGAATCCAGGCATATAAAAGGGAATCTGACAAGTAAAGCACACAAGCACCATCCAGGCTGACGTAATGATGGGTGTTGTTGTTTCATAAAGACATAGTGATGTACTTCACAAAATGAACGAACGGCTGATGTACATGCACCAAGAAAATGTGACTTGCTCTAATCTCGCTTTCAAACTTCTGAGCGGGCACAATAGGGAAACTGTGGTATAAAACTATCCCATGCAAATCTATCTTTATTCAGAAAGCCAAAACGGAAGATAAGTGACCTTCTCTTCCATAACACGACCAGTTTATGGTGAAACTAAATGCCTTTTCTAGTCAGTGCAAAGGACGTTTGTGACCTAGCCAGGCTGACTCTGTGCTCCTAGCACCAAACTCACGACCTAAAACAACTGGCACAAACATTTATTGTTACCGTAGCACAGTGATACCTTCCTCCCTTTGGTTTATTAATTGCACTCTTCCACCAGGGACTTTCAAGGTAAGTTGTCCATAGTCACCTGGTAAGTATCCATGGATCTTTACTGCAGCTCATTGCATAAGCAATTTGATGCCTTTCTTCTTCATTTGTGTTATTGGCGAAGATATTTAACAAAAAATCCCACTCTTTATCACTTCCCGAGGCAATGCCGTAACATAAAATCACAGTTTTAATTGGATAAGGTATTCTGTAAAGTATAACATGTAATGATATTTATCATGGTAGTTGAGTTATAAACATGTTACTTGTGTTTATAGGTTATCATATATTCAGAACTATGCAGCTAGAAAAAAATGTTGTGATCTCAGATATAAAGAGCAAAAGTAGGGATCTAGAAAGGCAACTGTGGGAACTATCATTAGTGTTACCATGATGAGATGAGACTGTCAAATTAGTTTAGAAAGGGGTTTAGGGGAGAAATAAATTAGAGTAGTACAAATGGTAAGTATATGCTGATAAGTTTGGGTTCATATCTTATTATCACATTTCCTAACAGTCCATCTGAGGTGATATATGAATAGAGTCTTAGCCTCAGCTCTCTGAGAGACTGCAAACAAATAGAAAAAAAAGAGTTGCTCTGATGTATGTATGTATATAATAAAGAACAACCTAAATAAGACTCAAAATAAGCCTAAGTGCTTATAGGGAATGCACTGGCAATGATAGATCCTGAGTGACAATAGCTGTATAAGTTCTAATCTATTGTTATGAACAGACCTACATTAGATGGTTTTTTTTTAAAGAAAGATACTTGAATAAAATAGTGGGAGAGATTAACCCAGTGAAAACAAAACAATCATTCCCAGAGTGAGAGCATCAAAAAGGTAGAAAGATTGCTGGTGTTGAAACAGGACAAAGACCAGTGCAATTGCAGTATTTATCTTACTCATTCTCTGGATTGTCCATCCAGTTTTTGAAGAGTTCTCTTGACAGCTGAAGACAGTCCTCAAGGCCCAAGAAACACACACTCGCAAAAAGTTTTTCCAGCGATATTCTTGAAGGAACAGTCAAAGGAAAACATTTTATTTTGCATTACCACATTATTTTTTTCTCCCTCCAAGAATATGTTTCATAAAAAGATGGGTATTTTAAAACATCCTTCCAATAACATCAAGTTTGCTAAAAAAGAAAAAAAAAGCTTTTGTGGATAACAAACGTGTTTAAGATTCAGAGAAATGTTTTCTGAGAGCCTGTCAGGCACCAAATAAGCTCCCAGGACTGGTATTTTTTGAAAAGTTAGAAATAAATTACTGCCATCCTTTATCTCCCTCAATCACACATGGTGTACACAGACTCCACATCTGTTATCATTTTACTTTTCCTCCCTTTTACAATAATTGCCTTGTGGATAAAAAATGACTTTAGAGTATTTGATCTAATACTCTTAAAAAGAAAGTTCTTTATACATGGAAAGGAATGGTTTATTTCTCTCTTTCAACCATGTGCTTTTCCTTGCTTAAGTTTCTGTTTCTTCTTCAACTCCTCCTGGCTATTATATTTATGGCCAGAAAAAGGATAGAGGTTTGGTTTTGTTTTTATAGCTGAGAAGGGGTACATATTATGGTTCAAAACAAGTAAGTTCAAAAGAATACAGTGAAGAAAAATTATAAATCCAGATAAGCGGTGCGTGGGGTGTATCTCCCTGCTCTCCCCAAGTTTGAAGTAAAAGGTAAAGGAAGTCAAAGTGGCCATAAAGTTCCAGAAAATGCAAGAGCCAAATCTCTATTCCTCCACCCTCTAGTTTCAACTCAGCTTGACCTGACTCTCTGATAAGCAGAAGTGGAATGTCCAAGGGTGGAGGCCTTCTGAAAGACAGCTCTGAGCACTCATGTATACACACACTGTCCCTCCCCACCCATCCCAAGCTGGCTGCAGAGAACTCGTCTTGGGATGCTACAAAAAAGCAGGTCACTTCAGTCCAATTAACTAATCCAAGGTTATGGCTAGTTAACAGGTATGCTGCCTTCGTGTGTGTTTTTTTTAATATATTTTTATTGAATTGAGAGAGGAAGGGAGAGGGAGAGAGAGAGATAGGAACATCAATGATGAGAAAGAATCATTGTTTGACTTGCCTCCTGCATGCTCTACACTGGGGATCGAGCCTGCAACTGCGGCATGAGCCCTTGACCAGAATCGAACCTGGGACCCTTCAGGCAACAGGCTGATGCTCCATCCACTGAGCGAAACCGGTTAGGGCCATGCCTGTGGTTTTGAGCACACTTTTGCCTTCCTGTTTATTCACACATGCCTACACATTCACTATTCCAACTAGTCCTCCCCATCTTCAATCTACTTGTCCATTCAACCCTATGTCCTTCTAGTCACAGGTCCTAGCACTAAAATTTTCTCCTCTCTCAGAAGGATAGTCATGAGAGATAATAATCACATTTTGTATGCTTTGTATTTCTTGTTTTGTCTAATTGATTTAAAGTTGATGTGACGAGTGCTGTAAATATAATCCCTGTACCATAGCTGATCACAAACACCCTCCCTAAATCTAGAAGCCCAGCATACACACGTGGCCTTGGGTCACAGGGAGGCTGGGGACAGCAGAGCTGTATTTTGCCTTTCACCCCCTTCCTGGATCATTATGACAACGTGCTTACTTCTCTCACCAAATCAATGATTTGAAAATCATTTATAACACTTATGATCATACACAATGACTGATATATTTCACTGTCAACCTCTCATAAAATTTGCACAGTGATAGAATTTCTGTCACCAGTAATATACAGAGGGGCCCCTTTTCCATGCCCTTTAATTCACTGGAATAGGCTGACTTGGCTTAGCACAGCCCTTCACCATTAGTATGACATACTTACAATTTCAACCAGTAAGATTTGAAAATACAGAGCTATAAATTCCTGTATAAAATGTCACATGATGTCACTTATTTGTGGAATCTAATGAACAAAATGAATTAACCAACAAAATAAGACCCAAAGCATGGAGGCATGGAACAGACTAACATACCTCAATGTGGGTTTGGGAGAACGAGAAGAGATAAACCAAAGAACTTATATACTTATATGCATAGCCCCCGGGTACCTGGGGGGTATAGGTAGGGGTTTGGAGGAGGGGGTTAAAGGAGGCGGGGAATGGGAGATATCTGTAATAATATGAACAATAAAAAATATATTTTTTAAAAATTTTCTGTGTATACATATATGTGCTTTGTGGGTAAATTAAGATCCCAAACTATTATTTCCTATTAGGATACATGTAGCTCATCAACCTCAAAGCTACTGTTTTAGAATAGTGTATAAAAATCTCTCAGTGAATCATAGGTATGAAGATGTTATGATGAAAGTATAGAAGCCTATTTATTCATATGAATAACTTTATGCAATTATTACTATTCAAAAATACTTACAAAGCTAAATAGTCATCTTGCAATGCTGTCACATTTTCACGAATTATAGTTGAATAATGATTCCATATTGAGGTCAGTCTCTTTAATAGATACTTCTATAAACAATAAAGAAAATATACTGTTAGTCTAGCTCGCAACACTGAATTTGCATTGCATTTCTCTTTATTTGAAGAGACATTAATAATGACAGATATGTCTTCAGAAATTATTTTTATTTGTTAGTAATGTGTAACTGGTTTATTTTTTAGCCTGCATAGGTTCAGTTTTCTCACACAAAATGAAGTTTACAATAACACCATTATTAGAGTTTTGTGAAGACTGAACAATATAATGTATGTAAGCATACTGCCTGGCAAATAAGTCAATAAATATTAGCTATTATTATAACTTAATATCATCCTATGCATTTCTGGTTATCATAAGAAATGAGAAACAAGTATAAAAATTTAAAACTTAAACTTTCTATTTTAAAAAGTCCATGTTTAATATATAAACCTCCAAGAAAATAAGAACTGATTTATGTCTCAAACAATTTAAGCCCTGAATCTGAAGTAAATAATAAGATTATAAGATTATAAAAGTTATACATTCCTGTATTGAAATACTAAATGTATTCATTGAAATTCTTTAAAAACAAATATTAGTTTTTACTTATTTATGCAAACCCAGTCATCAGATATAATCAACAAGTTTCCTTGATCCCACAAATATTAAAGTGCCTTCTACTGGTCACCAGCCCCACATTCCAGTAAGTTTCCATCAGCACTTTGGACGGGAGAGACAACAAAGTATGGAACCCTGAGGTAGTTATGATTTCAGCCTCAAACTGCCTCAGCAACTCACTTGGAATCCTCACCTACCTTACTTCCCAGTTTGTTTGTGGCCCTTAATTCTCCAAAGGTTTGCTCCCTAATGTAGGCTTGATTCTACCTGTGCTATCTTCCTTATGATCACTGTTTAAAACCGAATGATGGAACTTTTCTCCTTTTATATTGTTTCAGTTATGATGGCATGTTATGTCTTTAGTCATTAAGTCTAATTTCCCTCACTCTCTTTGCAACATCAAGAGGAGCTTTGAAACGTTACTTTTTCTGGAACTCACTTCTCTGGTTTTAAGTGCTGGCCCTGTAAATCAAAGCATCTCACTTATGCATATAGGACTGTAAAAAAGTCATTCTGTTTGATTAACAATCTTTTAGGAAAATAGTTGCTAATGCATACTATCCTTTTCTGTAAGCAAAAAGGCATACCATATCTATCCACTTCTGGTTTCTTAGGACACATTGCCACTCCCATGAGAATTAAGTACCTTTCTAAACTTCTATCATACTCATCTCCTAGACCAGGTTTATGACTAAGGTATTTTCTTTTAAGAATAATCAATCATTCCTTGAAAAAAAAATGTATATATTAATTAGTTATATATATAAATAAACTACTTTTGGAAAGGCCTGTTTCACAGATGCTCTTTAGAATATAGAATGAGGAAGAATGGATTCTTTTAAACCACAAACAAAGAATGAAATTACCTTTAATAATGTGTATGTATCATAGTTGCCCACATCAGAAACAAAATTGCTGGGTAGCAGGTTCACCAAGACTGTATGCCATACTATGATTTCATCTTCTTCAGCAAGGTACTTGGTTAAATCAAGTGCTGTTTCAATCTCAATATAATTGTTTCTGTTTGGTTTAAAAACACACACTAAAAAACCTTCACTTGCTAAAAATGATTTGTACACTTTCCATATTTGTTCCATGCGTCAATGCCTGACTTTATAAAGTATGTGAAATCAAGAAGCTAGAGGGCAAAGGTCCCATCTCATTGATAAGATGGGAACCAAGCAATGTTGACCAACCCTCCCTTTCAGTTTGGTATGTGCACCCAAATTCCTGGAGATTTTATAGAAAATCCAGGCCCTTGCCGAAACCGGTAGGAGATGTGCAGGAGGCAGCTGATTGATGTTTCTCTCTCATCGATGTTTCTGACTCTCTGTCTCTCTCCCTTCCTCTCTGTAAAAAATCAATAAAATATATTTAAAAATAAAGAAGAAAATCCAGGCCCAATATTGGCCTAATTACCAGGCAAAAGAATATTTGTGCATTTAGTATGCACTCTTATGAGAGTATAGTTTCCATTCAAAAAGTATTAATTAAAAGTCATTCTCTCTCTAATGTTCTGCCAGCACAAACTAGAATATAGGACAATACGCTCTCCTACTATTGAGGATCTTACTACTTCAATGAGGAGCTGAGATTTATGCATAAGTAAATGTTAACAAAAGGTCCTTAGAAAGGCAGTGAATACAATAAAGGAGCAAAGACGGTAAACAGGCATGTAATGGAAAAGTCGGCGAAGGCCTCCTGGAGTAGGAATTTGAGAAGAACAATGAAGGTTGGGTAGGATTGAAATGGGTAGTAAAAAAGAAGACAGTTTAGGACAAAGAAGATTATTGGGAATCAATATGATGGGCAGACCAAGCTAACCAAAGCAGAGAATTTCTTTTGTGTATAGTTGAAAGGTGAGGCCTAATAGGAAAGGTGGATCAAAACTGTGAAGAGCCATGAATGTTAGGATATAGAATTTACATGTGGTGGGAAGATGTTTAGATATCTGGGTACTATCATGAAGGTGATGCCTAAAAATTTTATTATAATTGGGCTCAAGAAGATAGAATGGAATTCAAAGGCACTAAAGGCGAGAAGCTAATGCAATAGGCCAACAAAAGAAAATAAAAGCTTGGCTTAGTATGGAAACAGTGAAGGTAGTAAGTAAGGTGAGAATCCAAAAGACTTTTCCAGGAATGAATAGATAAGACATGGTGACTATTTGGGAAATGTGCAGGAGTTCAGGATATTTCTTATGTTGCAAATTTGGGTGATGGGAAGAATAGTGGAACCTTTGACAGAGAGAAAAAATGATAGCAGGAGCAGTTTAGAGACAAATAAAGTTCAGTGTCTCAGGTGCTGGATTTAAATGACCACAGGATAAATAGAAGACAGGAATAGACAAGTAGAGATGTAGGTTTAGAAGTCATCAACATATCTTCCACAAACATTTATTGAGTACCTTATATCTTCTAGGCACTGTACATGTAAGTAATAAAATCACTGAAATTTTAAAAATGCATGCATTATCCAAAGGGAAGATAGAAAAAAATAACACAACCATCACTGGTCTTTAGGATGCTCACAGCAGCAAGAAGAAGAGAAGTCAGATACATGAGGAGAACCACGTTTGCATATAAAGTCTCAAGAAGCCAGTAAAGAATTTTCCAGGAGGATGTGGTCAGCAGTACCAAAGTCAGGGTAATCTCAGAGAGGAGTTTCAACAAAGCAGTGAGCAAAGAAGTGTGCTGCAGGTTACAGAGGGGAAAAGTACTAAGAAATAAAAGATAAAATAAGCAGACATTCATTCAAGAAATAGGACAAGCCAAAGAGAGAGTGAGCACACTAAGTATTGTATTATGTATGCTCCTTAATTTTATTGTCTGAAAATTTAAATTCTGAACATATATTAATTTGCCTGGTCAAATACTTACCAGCTGCTTTTATATATATGTCACATTTTATTTATATCGTAATGAATAAGGATGATGTAAATAAAATCAATAATTTGGCAATATGTTAAAATACATGCCGTATCTCATTAAAATTATACCTACAGCCATCATCATCAGGTATCATAAATCACTTCAAAATTTTAATAGTCTACTTCCAGCAACTCGTTTTTTAGATGACAGCTACTTTATTTCCTTAACACTCGATATCACAGAAAAATATGAACACAATCTTCCTAAATTTATCCATTTTAACATTTACTAGAGTTTACAAAGGTAAGCTTGAATCACTTGTAATTTACCTAAGTTTTTATTCCTGATTGATACTTTAAAAATAATGGTTCTTATGCTTTTTATAATAAGCCTATAAATATTTAAGCACTATTATCTTTTTTCTCTTTATATCATCTCTACTACATCCTTCTCAAACTTTTCCTTTAAGGTGTTTCTTTCAAAACATTGAGTTATCTTTGCTATTTTTTTTAAAACCCTTTAAATATTCTCCATAATTAGTTTAAATCTTATTATACCAAAGTTAATTTAATTGAAAATATATAGGACTTTGATTATAATTGAATGCCAAGGTTTGACTTGAGAAGAACATATTCTTTCTCCCAAAACATTGTTTCTTGGTCGCTTTCTAATTATAATAGACATAATTGCTCTTTCTTTATAGGACTTTTTAAATTGTCTTTTTTATTGTGGGAAAATACACATAAAATCTGTCATTGTAACCATTTTTAAGTGCACAGTTCAGCGGTATTAAATACATTCATAATTTTGTGCATCCATCACCATCATCTGTCTCCTTAACTCTTTTCATTTGTAAAACTGAAACTCTGTACCCATTAAATAATATCTCCCCTTCTCACCTTTTCCCTAACCCCTGGCAACCACCATTGCGCTTTCAGTCTTTATGATTTTGATTACTCTAAGCACCTCATTGTAAAGTGGAATATTACGGCACTTTTCTTTTTGTGACAGGCTTATTTCACTTAACATAATGCCCTCAAGTTTCATCCATGTCGTTGTACATTCCAGGTGCTTTTATGTAATAAAATTCCACTATAACTACAGAATTTGATCCTAATCTTGAGAAGCTATGGCCTGGATATGCTAAAGAACCAACTTCATAGTGATGAAGTTCATAATGATAAATTCTCAAGGTGAACTCTAAAACCATGTGCGAAGAAAATATACTCACTTAGACAAGGAAAAGGCATCATCAATCAACTGCAGTCTGTGAATAACAGGAATAGCCTGCAAATTAGATCCCAATATGTCCAGAGAAAGATGAGAATTTTTTAGTAAAAAAAAATAATTTTAAAAGAATAACATTTAAAGATCATTGCTAATTACAAAGTACTTTCACATGAATTGTCTCATGTACAGAGAAATGACAAATACTAAGGGTAGTCCCCATAACTTATGTATTATACATCTGTTTTTGATAAATGATCCCTCTGGACATGAATCATAAGGCTTAAATAAGGCAGAGAGTTATGCCAAAATTCTCCCTGAAAACAGCATGTTAGAAAATAAAAACAGGAAGCCAAGTTTAAAAGCCTTCTCCAAAACAGAAAGCATACATTAAATTGTATGACAATGTCCAAATTATTGTCAGGGGAATTTTTTGGCATAGGAGGGCTTAAATAAATATTATTTAGCACTATTTTGGTAAGATTGAGGTACTCTTTCAAATGGTATCTCTCTTCTCAGGAATTCACTGCTTTGACACAATACCACCAGTAGGGCCCTTCGAATCACAGAAAGGCAGGAGTCAATTGCCAGCCTAACTCCAGAGGCTCCTGTCTGGGCTCCTTGGCATTGCCAGGCCACAGGACTCTATCTCAGCTGTAGTGTCCTCAGGATGCCCAAAGCCTCCCCCAGTATTCCTTCAATAGCTCCAGAATTTTCATATATTTGGTACTAGAAAATTTATCTTCGCTACATCCCTTTGAACATCTAAGCAAACCAAGCTTAATTCTTTTCTTGGGAGTAGTCTCTTTTTCTTTCTGGCGGTAATAACCTATTTTCTAGATCAATATTAATAACAAATATTTTTTTATTTGCTCACCAATTATGTTGTAATTGGTCTTTAAATAAGTAAGTCTTATTTAAATAAGTAAGACTTACTTTAAATAAGTAAGTCTTTAAATAAGTAAGTCTGCAGTGGTTTCAAGAAATCATTGCTATAATAACATGACCTAAAGCTTCCATAGCCAAGAGTGCCCTTAGAAATTAACAAGAATTAGCTACTCAGAAAAAGATTTTAAAATGCCATCATAAGTTGGTTTTGTAGCTTTATTCAAAAGTATAATAGTAATTTTTAAAAATTACTGAACGTGCTCCGAATGCCTGAATTGTGTCAGGCCTCTGTTAGACCATAACATATGCATCACTTTATTTAATCTTCACAACAACCCTTCAAGGTTGGTCTGTTATTATACAGACTAGTGGCCCGGTGCACGAGTTCATGCACATGGAATGGAAATTAATTAGAAGAAATATTTTAATATCGCTTTTCGCTCTTTCTCTGTAATAGTAGTGTCAACCAAACTCACAATCAACAATGACAGATGGAAACACACACAATTGGCGCCAGTGAGAGCTTTTTATATATAGAGATAAGGAAACTGAGGCATGGCTGGCCAAATAAGAGGCCTAAGGTCAAACACCTCGCAAATGAGGAACACAAATATAAACACAAATCTACCTGACCAAAACTCCAAAGTCTGGACCAATGTTCTTTATTGCCTCTTCTGGTGGAGAGGTTCCTGCATGTGTCTCAGAGAATTTCCAGAGTGAGACACCAAGATTTCTTTTAGTTCAACACTCTAGTTTCACAAATGTCATCTCAATGACGTGCCCAAGATTTCACAGCTGAGCCAACTCTATAGACTTATAAGCCAGCATCTATCTCCACCAATAGAGATTTGGTTAAATTCAATCAATAAAAATCTTACTGATTAGAGCTAGCCAATATTTTAATATTTACATATTGTATAATGATTTATAATTCTTTCACAATTTAAAGTGATATTGGATTATTATTGATATTTGTGGATTAAATTCTCCCCTTTGAGGAAGAGTGAGAATAAAATTTTTACAAAAATTAACATTTTCGAGCATATACTGCACATCTATTATGGGCTTAGAAATTTTAAGTATATGTTTACCTACATCGTCTCTAATCCTCATGATAAATAAGTAATACATAATATTATTTCCATTTAAAATAAGAAATGAAAGCAGAACATTTAAGTAACTTGCCTAACATCACAAAACTAATGGTTAATAGGAAAATGTATTCTTATTTTTAACTAGAAAGGTAAAATTATTGTGGAAAAGTGAGATTAATGTTCAAAAATACGCCCTATCCGGTTTGGCTCAGTGGATAGATTGTCGGCCTGCGGACTGAAAGGTCCCAGGTTCGATTCTGGTCAAGGGCATGTACCAAAATACAAAGCATTCAACCAAAATCTCCCCTTCCTAAGAATAAGTAATGAGGGGAAGGTCTCTTCTCATTAGACAGACATATGAAAACTCAACTCTGAAAGGCTAGAGAGTGCAATACTAATATTTTTTAAAAGATATAAAAATAATCTTACCTTATGATCTTTTTCAAGCTGTTGATTTAATTTCTTCCAACCTAATTTATCATAGTTAACTCTGTAATATCCAGTCATATTCAAATTTAAAATCACCCAGTCATGATCAAAATTTGAAATTTGCATTTCAGGAAATAATTCTACAAAGAAATATGTGAAGTGTTTGATGTGGTACATTTGAAAAATATTTCAATATATGTTTATACTATATTCTTTTAATTCTAAACAATAAATCCAATGAAACAAAAATTAAAGGAATTCATATATATATGTATATATACGTATCTTACCATATAATTACATTTTTTCACATTAATAGCTTTTGATTTGAAACTTTTCTTTAAATCTCTATGTTCAACAGAATGATATCATACTTTAGTTTTAAACAGGATAGCTTTTCAAAAGCTAAATATTTCAACTTTTTATCCTTTATATTATATATATATGTATGTATATATGTGAAGATATTTAAAAAATTTGTTACTTACTGCTGCTTTTATCTAGCCAGACTAAAGATTGTGTAATTCCATTTTTCATCCAAAGAACAGGTACAATCCATGTGTCACTTAGAAAAAATTTTAAATTCAGTTAATTTTCACACATAAGAATGTAAGCACTGAGCCAATGTTAAATGAGATGACAAAATAACAGACAGAAATTGGTCATTCCCTCTGGATATGTAGGACTTGGCTTTTTATTATTCACTATTGATTTTACAAGCCAGTTTGGCTTTAGTTGTTTGTTTACTCTCTCTTGTTGTATCTTATAGATCAGTGGTTCTCAACCTGTGGGTCGCGACCCCTTTGGCGGGCCAATGACCCTTTCACAGGGGTCGCCTAAGACCATCCTGCATATCAGATATTTACAGTATGATTCATAACAGTAGCAACATTACAGTTATGAAGTAACAACGAAAATAATTTTATGGTTGGGTCACAACATGAGGAACTGTATTTAAAGGGCCAGAAGGTTGAGAATCACTGTTAAAGATTGACTTCTTAAAACTTAAGGTAGCTTCTAGGACTATCTTGTATCTGAAACTTTAAAGGCCTGTTTATAATAAATTATATCCACCTGGCCTGTTCAGAGGTTGTTCAAATGCTGCAGACAGACCCAAATCCGTCCTTGCCAAGAGAGGTAAAGAGAAATTTAAGAAGAAAACCTTGGCAAATATTTCAAAATACTTTTCTGCATCAAGCTTTCTCCCCATCTGAAAAATGTTCAGCATGAGTCAGCCAGATCATTCATATTTCCTGAATGCCAGCATTCTTTCCGTGTTTGTAGACATGACCTGGATGAAGTAGCTGACCACAAGGAGGACATTAGTCATCTGAAGGGACGGACATGCTACTTGGAATTTGGGCAATATTTTTCAATCTGCTCAAATACTCACAAGTCTGGGTTCTCAAAGGCATTAAACTGAGGGTCTCTGTTTTACCTGATGAATAAGGCATAACTCTTCTCAAAAGACACAGTATATCACAGTGAGAAGAAATCTTTAGGTCTCTTGTTCCTCTCCCCTGGGGTTTTAAAGAAAGAGTAGGAGGACCTGAAAAGTTTGGTGGTGGTATTTGAAAATTAATTACTCATTTGTGGCAATACTACAATGAGATGTGAGGATCAAAATTTTATGAAAAACAGTTAAAAATTATCTAACAAATTAAGAAATAGAAGGGTCGGAGAAAATGATGAATACTAAGCCACTTTATACTCATTATTTCATTTTTACAACAATCTACTGGGATACCTGTTATTATGTTTATCTTATAGATGAGTCAATTAAAACTCAGAGATTTTAAATAAGACTTACCTAAGATTTGAAGTTTGGTGGAGTTCCTATTTGAACCCAGGTCTAACAGTATTGAAAGCCCATAATCCTAATGCTATAGGTAGGGGTACAAATACACATAGACATGCATGTGTGGACATGCACAAAACTATTCCTCAGACATAGTTACCATTTGGTACTGTTTCTAGAGAAAAGAAGATGACCTTGCAACACGATATCCGTTTCTCTTAACTAGCATGAGGTCATCTATGGCTCTAGCGTATTGCCTGTCACCCAGAATCCTGAGTAATTGTTATTTCTGCTGAAGGACAAAAAAGAAATACATAACACCCAAAGCTTTGGTCAATGGTGTTGAGGAGAGGCACTGCCTTGAAACCTTAAAAGCAGGTCTCTGGCCTGGCTCAGGACATCGGGAGCTCTCCCTTATCCTAGCACCACAGGAACGTCCTACACGGAGTCCTAAGTCACCATCCCAGAGTCACTCAGCAAAAAGGTGCAGCCAGCAGGGGTTATGCTTCCTCACCCACAGGCTGGTTTCCATTTGATCAGAACTCAACCTCAGGAAGGGAAAGACAGAGGAGCAAATCTACCTACTTGTGGGTTAGAAGAGTCTGATTTTTAACCTTTCCAAGATAAAATGGCTCCTGTTTCATGACGCCAGTAGATACATTTAAGGTGATAACTGGAAAACCACTCTGGTAGGTCCAACTGTCCATTATACTTTTTACTGTTGCTGGCAAAACAATTTTACTCTGATCATCTATGGCCTGTTTTAAAAAAACATCAGAAAAGCAGATATTTATCTTCAAAATCTTTTGAGGTAGCAATCTCCTAAAAGAAACGACATAGCTATTCTATATAGTAATTCCCAGTGGGTGATATACCGGGCCAAATTCAGAACTCCCTTCAACTCTATACCTGAATGGTTCCTTAGTTTATTCATTCATTCACTCACTAAACATATATTTTTAGACCTAATATGTACAGACTCTGTTCTGGGCACTGGGAATACAGTATTGGAGACTAAAGAAACAGCCCGACTTAAGGGAGTTTCCCAAACAAGGTAAAACTGTTTTCCTGTGGCATTGCCATATAAGCCTGGCTGCCCCATCTTGTTGAACTCTATCATACAGAACAACTCAGCAAAAACATGTCAGGAGGTAGACCAATACCATTTGAAAATGCCTCCAGAGATCATCCTGCTTAGCATTCGAGTAAGAAAATGTCTCCAAATATGACTGTAAAAATAGAAAAGTTAAGGTTAGAATAAATCACATCCTAAAGCAATTTACACTTATTGCCTTCCAGGTGACATTTTGTAAACTTACCTTAAGTGCGCTGATAAATAAATTCTCACTCAGGAAACTAGAAAGCATCCGGACCATAGACGCTCCCTAAGACATAAGAAGTTGTCCATGATTTGAACAAAATTCAATATCTAAATACTGACACATTCCATTTCAACAAGCATTATGCTGGGCTGTGCTCCTGACTGCATTGTGCACTTTAGTTGAATAACTTCAGTTATTCTAAAATATTTTAATAAAATAGTAGACTGTCACTAATTAATAGGTAAAAGGTGAACTAATGCCTTACATATAAAAAGTTCAGGGTACACAAAATGTTTTAAATATATGGCAAAAATAAATTTGTACCAAATAGAAGTGTCTAGGTCTAAGTGTCTAAGTCTATTCATAATGGTAGATGGTACTGAGCACCTAAGATGTGCTTGATTAACATTTACCAGATAATAATTGATTTAACCACATTTTCTGAAATCTATCTACTGAATAAAATTAGGGTTATTTGTATCAAAAGTTGTACAATAGCATATTAGCTTATGAACCTTGGAATCTATTTCATGCAACTTTCTGCAAGAGTTCAGAACAAAAGGAAATATATGACTGATTTTACCTTATTGTAAGTAAATATGTCAAAGAGCTCACTTATTTCATTAATTTCTGTGAAATTTTCCACCTTCATGGATACAGCTCGTGACAACAGGGAGTGATCTTCTCTGAGAACATCATGTAAAAGGTTAGAAAAAAACACTTCATTCTAAAAGGAAACGATTGAGCCACATTAAGTTCTGAGGTGTCACAGAAACACAAAGTTCAATGTTCCCAAGATACTTTAAAAAACTGACATTGAAGAAGGGAAAAACAATAATTGAGAAGTGCTCTGTGAGCTACAATATGCCAAATAGGCAAGAATTCCGTGAGTAATAAAATTCTAGGATACTTTCCTTCCCATTCGGTGTCTTTCTTTATTTCAATTTTTAAAAAATCAATTACAAGAGCTCCATATACCTTTTTCCTAAGGAGGTTCCTGGGTGGGGGAGAATAGTATCTCTTGGTGGTTTTAATCCTCTAGAATTTTATAGAGAATTATTAAAATCTAATATTAATCTAATTACTAATAGCAAACCCTTAAGATCAATCAGTATCTCTTTCATGGGCATTCATAAACCAAAAGCATGCCATATTTATAAATTCAAAAGAATGTTGATATAATAATTTGTAATTGGAAATAACAGATTGGATATAACAGTTTATATATAACTTATACATTATAAGAAGGCAATTTGTTATATTTTAATAAGAAGTACAGAACTCTATAAAAGACTAAATCTCTCTGACCCATGACAAGGGCCATTTCTTTCTGAAGAAAAGCTGAAAGGATAATCAAAGTATAGCCAAGAGGTGCATGAGGTGGATGAGCCAAAGAAGGAACAATGGATAAGTTGCAGGAATAGCATACCCTGGAGCCCCCGATAATCCACATGAAGCCTCTTTTGGGGGTCCCATATTGACTCTCTCACCCCTGGTCGGTGTCAGAAAAACTTTCAAATTCTGCCCCACTTCCATTAACCTATGTTCCAATCATCATTCTCCCATTAGCACAGTATTTTTAGATTTATTAATACCATTGATTAGGCTCTTATCAAACTCTGAGAAAGCCTATCATTTAGGGCAATGCATCACAATAAAGACAATCTTTAATGTCAATAAAGCTCACCTGGGGATTTTGTCAATTGGTCTGGGGTGGGGCCTATATTTTAACCAGATGCCGCTGACATTGCTAATTTGAGAATCACACTTTGAGTCACAAAAATTTAGGGGCAACATCTACATAAGTCTGATCTTATTCATTAAGTATAGGTTTTATTAATTTAACACTCAAAAGTTCTGCATCTGCATATGGTTCTTGGATTTTCCTTCTCAATTTCAATCTAATGACTAGATTAAAAGTCCATGATCTCTCAAAGATTATTGAAATAAGGCCTTAAGCTTAAAAAAAAAAAATTTTCAAAGCTTATGTTAATTTTCTCAAGTGCCAGGATCTGATGCTCTTCTAGCAAGGGTTGTATTCACTCTGCTGCACAATAATTGAGAAATGTAGACTTAGAAAAGAGCAATTAAGAACCAATGATGAAAAAAATAACTAAATGATACAAAAAGAGCTAATCTTACCATCTAAGTTTCAAAAACACCAGTAATATGTTTTCATCAAGTTTCCCAGATATGACAATCCCTTAGCCATTTTAGTTGCATTAAGAGGTACTGATTGATGTTAATATATTCTATTTAATTAAGAACAGGGTAAAATTTTAAAAATGGGCAGAAAACCTGAATAGACATTTCACCAAAGAGGATATACAGATAGCTAATAGACATATGTAAAGATGCTCAACAACACTAATCATCAAAGAAATGCAAATTAAACCCACAATGAGATACCACTCCACACCTGTCAGAATGGCTATCATCAGTAAATCAACAAACAACAAGTGTTGGTGTGGATGTGGAGAAAAGGGAAACCTTGTGCATTTTGGTGAGAATGTAAATTGGTGCAGCCACTATGCAAAATATTATGGAGGGTTTTAAAAAAAATTAAAAATGGAACTGCCTTATGACCCAGCAATTCCACTTCTGGGAATATATCCAAAGAAACCCAAAATACTAATTTAAAGGAATATATATATCCCTATGTTCATTGCAGTAGTCAAGATATGGAAGCAACCCAAGTGTCCATCAATAGACACGTGGTACATATACACAATGGAATATTTCCAGGTCATAAAGAAAGAATGATATCTTACCATCTGTGACAACATAGATGAACCTAGAGGGTATTATACTAACTGAAATAAGTAAGTCAGAGACTAATACCAGATGGTTTCACTTATATGTGGAATCTAAGTGACAAAATAAACTAATGAGCACAACCAAAACAGTCTTATAAAAACAGAGAACTGACTGATGTTTGCCACAGGGGATGGAGTTGGAGGGCTGAGTGAAAAAGGTGAAGGGATTAAGAAGCACAAATTGGTAGTTAGAAGACAGTCACAGGGATGCAAAGCGCAGCATAGGGAATAGAGTTAATAATCCTATATAATAAAAGGCTAATATGCAAATAAACTGAATGGCAGAATGACCAGTTGCTATGATACACACTGACCACCAGGGGGCAGACACTCAACACAGGAGCTGGCCCCTGGTGGTCAATGCGCTCAACCAGAAGCTGAGCAGTGCTCAGGATGTCTGACTGATGGAAAGTGGGCCTAACCCGGCAGTTGGACATCCTCCAAGGGCTCCCAGACTGCGAGAGGGTGCAGGCCAGGCTGAGGATCCCCCCCCCACTGCCTGAGTGCACGAATTTTGTGCACTGGGTCTCTAGTATTGTAATAATATTGTAACTATATATGGTACCAGGTGGGTAATGAGAAAATTGGGAGAGAACACTTTGTAAAGTATATGACTGTATAACCACTATGCTGCACATCTGAAATTAATAAAAATAATGTTGCATGTAAACTGTTATTGAAAATAAAATTTAAAAAAGAACATAGAGAGTAAATCTAATTATTTTTGGGGAATGGAACTTCTTTATTGACTCTAAGCTAAGAGGTTTAGAGTATATGGATAGGGCTTTTGAAGATAACTAAGATTTACTACATGTATATAAAGTTTATATATATGAAAAGAGTCATATAAACACACACACACACACACACACACACACACACACACACACACACTCTGGATCCTTTAGAGCAAGAACACTCCCGGGTGCTTTCTCTGCAGAGCACCGTGGTTAAAGGCATGGGCTTTGCAGTCAGAGAATTTGGAATTGCATTTCACCTTTGATATTTAATAACTCTGAAACCTTGCACAGTGCACTTAATGCTTCCATGCCTGTTTCCTTAACTATAAAATAGAAAAAATAACAACTACATTCAGATGATTGTTTTGAGGACTTAGATGATGTGTGTATAGAATTCACAGTACCTGGCACTTAAGTCCAAAGTGCTCAGTTAATGGCAAAGACCATATTATTGTTGTCACTCTCGTCATTACCCTAGTCATTAGACTAGATCCAGACAACTGGGTTATAATCACAGTTCTGTCCCAATCAGGAAAATGAACTTGTAAAGTCAGTTAACCTTTTGATACTTCTTTCTGCTGAACTATATAATAATGTCCAATCCAAGGGAGAAAGAACAGAGGCACCACAGAGCAGCTGGACTGCAGGGTTGTGGACATTTTATAGGATATCTGAAAAGGGGAGAGTAGGTGCATGGAACTGGGACATTCAGAGGTTGCTATATCAGCACTTCCCAGAAACCATGATTTCACAAACAGATGCAAAAAAGTTTTTTTTTAAGTCTGTAGGGCTAAGACAGGTTTGTCAACTTTTTATTCTACCATCTTTTTAAAAAATATATTTTTTTATTGATTTCAGAGAGGAAGGGAATGGGGAGAGAGAGATAGAAACATCAATGAGGAGAGAGAATCATTGATTGGCTGCCTCCTGCATGCCCCCTACTGGGGATCGAGTCTGCAACCTCAGCATGTGCCCTTGACCAGAATTGAACCCGGGACCCTTTAGTCCACAGGCCAACGCTCCATCCAATGAGCCAAACCAGCTAGGGCACTACCATCTTTTTAATCAACAAAAAACAAACATTATCTATGTACCATCACCATGCTTTCATAAAAGAAGGCAAATTTTATTACCAATATATTCTTACAAACTCCTTCAAAGTGAAGAAATGTAGCCTGTAAGGAGGAGCTGGCCAGTGGAGATCAACATTTCAAATAACAATATATTCTTTGAATGAGTGGGGATGGGGAGAGGACAAGAGAACAAGAATCCAGCCTGGGAACCACTTGGGAGGGGAGATGAGGGAGAGGCTGGCAGAGAGCAGCAGGAAGAGCTGCCCTAAGCATCAGAGAGGTGGCGGGAGGCAGGACCGGAAGAGAAGAAAGGGCCTCTGGTTTGTTATAAAGGGGTGAGGTCTGTGTTAAAGGATGATATTAAATTTAAACACGTAGCCGAAACCGGTTTGGCTCAGTGGATAGAGCATCGGCCTGCGGACTGAAAGGGCCTAGGTTCGATTCCGGTCAAGGGCATGTACCTGGGTTGCGGGCACATCCTCAGTGGGAGATGTGCAGGAGGCAGCTGATCGATGTCTCTCTCTCATCGATGTTTCTGACTCTCTATCCCTCTCCCTTCCTCTCTGTAAAAAATCAATTAAAAAAAAAATTTAAACACGTAAACATCTAAGTAAAATAAAGTCAATTTAGCTTTATCATGACATCCTGAAAGCACTACCTAATTACTCTAAATAAATTATCAAAAATATAACTTAAAGTCGAAATCATCAGAATTGCATACCCATAAATTTATCCTTTTTTTCATATTACCAGTTACTCAAAACAGCAAAATAATATGAGCTATAATATATAAACATCAGCTATATAATATATACTAGAGGCCCGGTGCACAAAATTCATGCACCGGCCTGCATCCTCTAGATGTCCATGACCCCTTGGGGGATGTCCACCCTCACAATCCAGGATCCCTCGCTCCTTACTGCCTGCTTGCTCACTCCTTATCACTTGACTTGCTGCTCCTTAGCGCTGCCAAGGAGGCAGGAGAGGCTCCCGCCACCGCTGTGCGCTTGCCAGCCATAAACCCAGCTTCTGGCTGAGTGGGGGCAGCTCTTGCGTTGAGCATCTGCCCCCTGGTGGAAAGTGCTCATCATAGCGACCAGTCATTCTGGTTGTTCCACTATAATGGTCGCTTAGGCTTTTATTATATAGATTATATATCAACTATATTATATGTGAAATTATATGTACTGTTTTAAATATATAATATAGCATATCACTTATCATTAAAGTCATAGACCACTGATCACAACTGCTTTAAAATTTAGGTTAGGTAGGAATAAGTGAAAATAACCTAAAATCAAATAATAGGAAAAGATTATACACATATACCTTATAAGGTTATATAATAACATGTTAGGCAACCTTTAAAAGCCTTGTTTTCAAAAATCATTAATGATTTGTGGAAATGCTTTTGATATCATTTGAAATTAAAAAAGGCATTATACATTTCTGTGTAATTCCCACTTTTATGAATATTTACAATAAGTAAGCCTGGAAAAAGAAAATACATTAAAAAGACAACACTGATCATCTCTGGTTTTACAGATAATGTAGTATTACTTATATTTTACACATTTTCAACAATAACTATGCAGACATAGTTATATTTTTGCAATTACTATGCAAAAATTTGACAGACATACTTACTCCTGAGAGTTTAGGATTGAAGTAATTAACTACTCCAAACTCAAAATGAGATGCAAATCCTTCATTGAGCCAGATATTGTTCCACCAACTCATGGTAACCAAGTTTCCAAACCACTTTTGAAGATGGAAAAGAAAAGAGTTTTCTTAAATTTAATTTAGGTAATATTTCTTGAAATTGCATGTTAAATAAATGTACAATCAAAGACAAACTTTACTGGCTATCAATAAAACAGGAATCCAAAAAACATGTTGTTTTAACATGAAGAAATATTAGTCATGCCCTCATTTCCCTGAAATAATTATTTCACATTCAAAGATTGAAAGCAATTTTTGTTTTATGTGATGTTCAAAAATAATGAAAGCCAGAGTAGCATTTCTTAAACTGTCCACTTTGCCCATAAGTTAAATAAAGCAGAAGTTCTAAATGTCATGTAATACCTACTAATTACAGCATCTTATACTCTAAATAAACTATGGCAGGATTTGGCTGTAAGCAGTTATTATGTTTTAAAAATATGATATGATCTGTGCCATGTACAAATCACTCAAATAATCATGTTCTGCAAAATGGCACCGCTATCATCATTTTCTATTTGAGCTTAATAGAAAGAAAGTGTCAAACAGATGATGAATAGAATCAGGAAAGAAAAACACAATAATTTCCAAGACCAACAAATCCACACCCTAGTATTTAACCAAATTATTAGAACAGCTGTGATGTGCTAAGAGTTAGCCTGTATTCCAAAACAATGTGTCACTTAGGATATAATAAAAAATGACACCTTGGGTGACTGATCAAAACTTGTGGAAGTGTGTGTTGACTGTGTAACAGGGTGTTATTCAACCCCAGTAAATCACTTTCCCAAAATTTCTTATGAATCTATGTAACAAAATAATTTCATAGTTTAGTTATTTCTTTCTTGACTGGCTTGTAATAATGGAGTCAAGGTCAAAAGGCACATATGAAAATTTCCATCAAACCAAATTTCCATCAAACTGAACTTCTCCAACCACAACATGAAAGTATATAGTTCTAATGTAATGAGCTTTGTTTACACCAGTTTTGGGGATGCAGCTCGAGGATTAATTATCACTCATCTCATTGACACTAAAATATTGTATATATTCCTTTAACCTCTCTTCCCCCACCCCCCACCCCCCAAAAGAGCTTGTAACAATCTACTGATGAAATGTGGATATCTTTCCGTAACCTTTTATGATGTACCTTACTTTGAGATGGCATGAAAACAAATAATCATCGCTCTGCTTGGCTTATTTTTCCTGAAGGGAACTTTTCAGAGCAAGTTAATCCTTGAATGTAAATAGCTAACCCTCCAATGGACTGTAAGGTCTCATCACCGTGATCCATCAACAACTGTTCAGATCTACTCAGGATGTGATTACATAGAGCCTCCCTTGTTTTTCTCATTATATATATTGGAGAGGGCAGAAGGGAGAGAAGGAGAGAGAAACATTGATCAGCTGACTCCTGCATGTGTCCTACTGGGGATTGAGCCCACAACCCAGACATGTACCCCTACTGGGGATCAAACCTGCAACCTCTACATGCATGAGAAGACATTCAACCAACTGAACCACACTGGCCATGGCTCCCATTTTATTTTTTAAATATTTTCTTTTTTAGAAAGAGAGGAAGGAAAAGGGAGAGAGAAACATCTATGTGAGAGTGAGACATCAATTGAATGCCTTCTGCAGTCCCACTACCAGGGATAGGCTGCAATCCAACCAACCGACCCATACTGGCCAGGGCTCTCATTGTCCCATTTTTTGAATAAATTTTTTAAAATTTGGTGTATGGCAGGTGTTGTTGTTTTTCTTTTTTCACTTTGTTTTTTGCTATTTTTGGTAGAGCAGCTGGGAAACATCTTCATGTGAAATAAGAGAAAACATTTTACCACGTGCCTGATGCCCAATCTCGTGGGAGACAATGTGGGAGATCACCGTCTTTTTTTCTGTTAGTTGCTCATCTGGTTTCAGCAACAATAATGACTCATCAAATATCAGTAATCCCCAATTTTCCATTGCACGGTTGTCAAAAGTAGGCAAGGCAATCATATCTGAATGGAATTCAATGGAGAAAACAATAGAATCATTCTTTCAAAAAATTTGAGATTTCCAGTTATAAATATCTCAAAGTTAAATCATATAAATACTAAAAAAATACAAGTAAATATGTAAAATCTGAGAGTAGACTTTAAAGACAAATACCAAAGACAGAAGCCAGAAAATAAATTGTTTTTATTATATAAAAACCAAATACTTTTAATAAAGGACTTATATCCAAAATATATAAAGATCTCTTAAAAGTCAATAATAAGCAAATAAATAACTTTATAAATTTGGCAAAAGAGCAAAACAGACATGCCACTAAAGAATATATACCTGCCTTAACCGGTTTGGCTCAGTGGATAGAGCATCGGCCTGCGGTCTCAAGGGTCCTAGGTTCGATTCCGGTCATCGGCATGTTCCTTGGTTGCAGGCACATACCCAGTAGGGAGTGTGCAGGAGGCAGCTGATTGATGTTTCTCTCTCATCGATGTTTCTAACTCTCTATCCCTCTCCCTTCCTCTCTGTAAAAAAATCAATAAAATATATTTAAAAAAATAAAAGAATATATGCCAATAAAAAATAAGCATATGAAAAAAAGCTCTATATCATATGCCATTAGGAAACTGAAAATTAAAACAATAATGAAACAAAAACAACGAGATACCACTACACACGTATTAGGATGGCTAAAATCCAAAACACACCACCAAATGTTGGAGAAGATTTGGAACAACAGAAACTCTCATTATTGCTGGTGGGTATGCAAAATGGTACAGTCACTTTGGAAGAAAGTTTGGTGATTTCTGATAAAGCTAAATATAGGCTGATCATACAGTCTAGCAACTGAGCTTCTAGGTATTTACCCCCCTAATTGAAGATTTATGCCCACACAAAAACTTGTACACACGTTTATTGCCTCTTTATTCGTAATTGCTCCAAATGAAAAGCAACCAAAATGTCCTTCAAAGGCCAATGGATAAACTTTTGGACATCCATACAATAGTGTATTATTCAGTTATAAAAATAAATGTTCTATCAAGCTATGGGAAGTCATGGAGAAATCATAAATGTATATCACTAAGTAAAGGAAGCCAGTCTAAAAATTCTACATGTGGTATATGGGAACTCTCTAAAAAATAAAGTCTATTTAAAATTAAACATTTAGTTCACTAACAGACACCATAAACAAATTTGAAAGGCAAACCACAAACTGGGAAAAGTATATATCACAACTAGACAATATATTTTTAGTAAATAATTCTGACAAATTAAAAAAATATATGAATAATTCACTAAAGAAATAATTCAAACAGCCAAAAATCTTACTAAAATGTTCAACTTCTTTACTTCTCAAAAAAACAAAGATTAAAATAATGGTATAACTTAATCTTTTAAATGTATGAGAAGCTTACTAATTAGTACTGGTTAGCATTAGTATTAATAATTAGTTATAGGAAAACTGGCACATGGCCTGCTGGTGAGGTGTCTTTTGGAAGCAATACAGCAAAATGCTTCATAATCTTTAGAAATGTTCCTACCTTTTGACTATATCATTCAACTTTTGGAATCTATACTAAGGCAAATATCCCATATATTTGTAAACATTTTCTTACAAGGATTTTCTGTAGTGTCCTGAAAGTAGTCCCCCCAAAGTGGTAGAAGCAGTCCAAATATTCAACCACTGAGGAGTAAATAAAGTAGTTTGTCAAGGTGAATATGTAGGTATTCTATGTCTTTAAAATGACAATAAATAATAGCCTGGCTGGTGTGGCTCAGTGGTTGAGCATTGACCTATGAACCAGGAGGTCACAGTTTGATTTCCAGGCAGTGAATATGCCAGGGTTGTGGACTCGATCCCCAGCAGGGGACATGCAGGAGGCACCCAATCCATGATACTCCTCATAGCTAATGTTTCTATCTCTCACTCCTTCTCCCTTTCTCTCTCTGAAATCAATAATAAACATATTTTAAATACAATTAAAAAAGAATATTTAATTATCTGGATCATGTCAATACATTTTGTTAAAAAACAAAGAAGCAAACAGAGAAAGACAGAGATCCAGACTGACAGGCAATGGGATATACCCAAATTTCGGCCATGGTTATATCTGTGTGGCAGCATTACAGGAGATTTTTTCTTCTCTTTTATGTGTGTGTGCTTTCCCCTATTTTTCCAAATTTTCTACAGTGTTATCATTTATTACTTTTGTAACTAGAAGAACAATAAAAAATTTTTTATTTTCTTTTGCTACTGGAAGAAATCTCATTCATACAATCTGTGCTACATCTGTCCAGTGAATGTTCTATGCTGTGCTAAATTCAATAATTTAAGTTGGCCTTATACAAGGTTGAAGTTGACAGTGTGTAGTAAAGTGTGTACCCAGGTCATTTCATAGCCTCCACAGATAATGCTCTATTATCTTAGGTCAAACATAGTTGCCTTAGCCTAAGTTTCCCATTCTTCTAACCTTCCCTTTCCTTCACCCACTCCCATCCCACCACCAATGCATGACAAAGGAACAACATACATTTACCCTCACTCTAGAGAGAGAGAAAAAAAACATTGAACAACTTTCTAAGCTGTGTGGCTCTTTAAGGACATACTGTGTAGATCTATGAGAGATAAAATGTTTACATATTTCCTCAAGAATCATATTATATTCACACATGATTCCAATTTTATATAGCAAAAATTCACAGATGGGACTCTTAAATCCTAATCCAATGACTCAAAACTAAAGAATATTTTTTTAAACCAACAAAACCTTACTAAAGGGAACCGAGTGACTCACGCAGGCCTGCTAAAAGAATCCAGAGCATTGCATTGCACATTTGCATTATGAGAGGAAAGTACTGGATCCAAAGCCTGAGAGCTCCTTGAAAACCTGCTGGGCACAGGGCACCACATGAAGGAAGAGCAGGCAGGCCTTCATGTTTTCAAGAGGGGATGAAACTAACCCCAAAATAGCAGCTAAATGGTGACAGTGGGTCCTTGGAGGCTCATCTGGATACAACCTCATCCCAGGGCGCCATAAAAGGAAAACAACTGCATTGGAAGGGCAGATGACTCACCTGTTTTTGGAAGAGGGTAACTAATATTAAATAAATCTTCCAGAAAAGAGAAGATGGGGCCTGTGATGTTCAAAGCAAAGTCTGCATTTCCATTTGCAATGGCGTCTTTCCGAGCCCAGATGCGTATCTAAATAAAAACAATTGAGCAGTGATGAGAAAAAGCAGTATTGGAAAGTGGCAGCCTGCTTGCTCCAATTCCCTGATACGCTACACCAGCGGTTCTCGACCTGTGGGTCGCGATCACTTTGGCGGTCGAACGACCCTTTCACAGGGGTCGCCTAAATACATCCTGCATATCAGATATTTACATTACGATTCATAACAGTAGCAAAATTACAGTTATGAAGTAGCAACAAAAATAATTTTATGGTTGGGGGTCACCACAACATGAGGAACTGTATTAAAGGGTCGCGGCATTAGGAAGGTTGAGAACCACTGCTCTAGACTCTAGAGCCAAAGTCACACTGTTTCACAAGAAGCTACATAACAAAACATTTAAATGCATATGCACGCTGAGAAAAGCCCAGAAGGCTCTTCTCTCAGTTGTGAACAGTGGCTCCCCCCAAAAGTGTGTTATTTCAGTCTTTTGCAATAACATGTATAACTATTGTCACCCCAAAACAATCTGTGCCTACCCACACGGAAAATGTAGCTTCTATGTAAGAGAGTAAATGGGCACCTCGGGCCCTTATTTCCTGGTTCTAGACATATTTCCAATGTCCCAAAAAAGAATTGTGTGGTTAGTGAGGGTTATATAGTATGGTACACATTAAACAAATCTGAATTGTGCCAACTTAAAATGGTTTGTTAATGAAAACATTAATAGTCCCATCTTACTTTCAAAACTTAGAATACGGTTAATTTCCCTGATTTTAAAGAGTTCATGAAAAGTTTTTTGATTTTATAGTTGTTGAAGCAAGTAAAATATATTCTCTGTTTATATATATAGTAGGTAAAAAGAAATCCCTGCCATGTTTTATTAGTTTAATGTAACCATGTTGTTTGGGCACTTGGAATTTATTTGCATAATTTTGGTGACTACTGTTGTTTTAACATTCATTATTATTTTAATATGAAATTATTTTATACCCCAAAACAATGCCATCTAAGCACTTTTTAATGGAGTTGCTAGTGTTAATGTTAAAGAACATGTATGAAACTCAATAACCCTGAAATGAAAAGCAAAGGGAATTAAAATAATTGTCCTGATGTGAGTACAGTTAATTTGAGAAAGATCTCTCTGCAAAACATTAGGGAAAATGCTAAGTAAATGAAAAACAGCATCACAATATTTGCAGATTACTGCCCTTCAAGAGCACATTCACTTTACTTTGCTTTAATTTCTGCTAGAAAAATGTGTCTTGAAGCACGCACATTTTGAATTATGTAAGATCTTCAGGAATGCTCCCCTTTCACAGCATGTAACCACCTGTTTTTGAAGCCTTCTGCATTGATTCCCTGACTCCTTCCAACCTTCCCCTTGCTGCTGAGGTCTCGTTACCCTCGGGAAAATGGGCCTAGGACTCAGCCCTACTTCTACAATAAACTTACCCTCCCCAACTCTAGTTCTAACTTTTGCATCAACAGAAAGACTACTAACCCAAAGTGCACACTACTGAGTGAAAAGAACAATCCCCTCTCCCCACATTCAAGATAATGAATGCATTTTAATTCATTTAATTATTTGGAAAATAATGGCAATAACAATTAAAGTCTCTATGTTAATTTTTAGTTTATAAAGCTCCTCCCATCAACTACCATTCCATAAGCCAAGAGGCAGGCAAATAATGGAGATTTCTATCTGGGTGCAAGGGGTGAGTGGCCCTGGTAGAGCAGCAAGGAGCACTTGGAGATGTAGCCATAAAGCTCCTTCAAAACCAGAGCTAGTCCACCAATGTGTTCCTGTGTGGCCCTCCCGATACACAGCCAACCTCAGCATCTGAGAGAGGAATGTCTTTGCGCATACCCATGTGTGCTAAATTCTACTTAAAATATGCTATCTCCAACCTAAATTCTGTGCTTCCTATGTTTATCCTCATGCCACACATTAATCACATTTTCAATTGCACTGTTTTCTCCTACTTGATGAGTACGTTTTATACAATCTTGGCATTATTCCAAGGGTACATTCTAGTTCTCCTGTAGAGTATACCGGACTCCTTCATTGTAGCACTGAGCCTTAGCCAAATGCAACATTCCACTGATAAACTCATCCCAAATTTCAACTTTCTGGCTGACAGCATTACTTTCTTCGGCATTTCCTCTTTGCTTCTATGGCAGCTGGCTTTCTTTTAGGGGGAATCTTTCATTAAGAAACAGATTTGATGCTTTTCTGAGACTTGTTCACTGTGCAGTAGCATTGAGAGCAACAAGCCACTTGAGATGTGGATGCTGACAGAGCGCTGTGGGTCACTCGTGTGCTCTGGAGCCCACTCCTTCATGTCAGACACAAAGCGTGTGCTTCCAAATCGTGCCTGAGTATATTGATGAATACAGATGTCAGGAAGGTTTGACGTGGCCAATGTTACATCTGTGAACATCGAGGATTTACCAGTGATTATTCAATCCAGAAAATCAGGCTGGAGCCAAGAGCTGAGGGAGATAACGGGCCGCTGTTTGCATCCAGCACGGTATTTCCAAGTCATCATTCGTTAGGAGTGCAAAAGGAGCAACTATGAGTGATCCTCCCCCGATGACAGACTTGGCTCATCTACAGCTCCCTTGTCTCCACAAGTAGGAGACAAAGCATGAGCCCAAGAGAGAGCCTCAGCCAGCTGTAGGGTCCAATCTTTCTCAGCCCAATGAAGTCAGTCTGACCAGAAAGAACCAGGACTACAGCAGTGGCCTTACTTGCCTCCACACTCTAGCATAGAGAGTGAACCAGTATACAAAGTATTGGGTACTTCCCGCAAGGATTATTATGTAATGAGGATATCATTGGGAGAAAACTAGGTATTTCAGGACAGAGCACCTATTTTATACAAATCTGAGGAAGTGTTATGAGCTGCAGAGCTGAGGAAGACAACAGCCCTGCTTCTCAGCAGGGATGGTATTTAACCTGCACGTTCCATCTCAACCACAGCACTGTTCCCAGCTGGGTCATGCTCGTGCCACACTGAGTATCACCCAGCTTCAAGGCTGAGTTATAGGGAGGTAAACAACAGGTAAACCTGAGCTTCAAGGCGCTAGTACGTCAGTTCTCCCTTGTCCTTTGAAAGGCAGCAACAGCCTGGGAAGAGGGGACTCTGAACCTGCCTTGAGTGGACTTAGTGTGTAGCCTTCCATGGAAACCCCTCCACAGAGCTATAGCGGGGATTATGTTTCATTCCTCAAAGCCACACTAAGAGCTTGTAAAGGACTTGGGAAAAGTTGGAGTGAGTACCAGGAGGGGATGATGGGATGTGTAGCCATGCTCCCAGATGCAGAGAGAGTGGATGAACACTCTGCAGCCCGTACAAAGATACCCTTACCTGGAGAAACTTCCTTACTCACCTCCTTGCCCCTTTCAGTTCTGTTGACATGGTCATAGTCACATATGACAAATGCAGCTAAATAAGTTGGCATGCGGGGTGTGGTGTGAAAGGTGGTAACTGTCCATTTGCTTCCATTCACATCTTTTTCAGATTGACCTGGAGAAGTTTATTTTAGTCCAAAATCACCATAAACCTAAGTAACAATATCTACCTTTAAATTAATTTGTCAAGTTGACTGTCACCTGGCTACTTCTTCCCAACTATGTCCCACAGTCTAGCAGTTTGGATTTCTCTAACCCTAACTTATCAAGACCACATTGGGAAGATCTAAGGACAGCATCTTAGTCCTGAATTAGTATGTTGAGTGACTGGTCTTGACTGAGGGCCACATCCATGAGCATTCTAAGTTAGGCCCCATGTAGAGACTAGGCATTGGGTGGTGAGCACACAATGCAATAAAGAGATGATGTATTATAAAACTGTATACCTGAAACTTATATAATGTTATTAACCAATGTTACCCCAATAAATTTAATTTTAAAAAAGAAACAGGATTTATTATCTCCAAAATGTGGGTGCCACCACATATCCCATGTGACTGATTGTCCTAACTATAATATGCTACCAGCATATTGTGTAGAAAAGCTATTGATTTAAAAGCTATTACAGAGTTAAGTAGATATATATATACTATATATATAGAGAGAGGGGGGGGGACATTACTTACGTAGCTTTGGCATGTTGGAGAGAGCCACATAACTCGGATGATGAATAATTGTAATATTAAAAGTTGCTTTCAGAGCTGGTTCATCAAAACAAGGGAAAACATTCCTGGCAAATGTTGGTTCCATCTGAGATGCTAACAGGGCCCTAAAATACATTTTAGGGGAAACTCTATTTTTATCTCAAACTAGTGGGAGAAAAAACTACTGAGGTATTATGACTTATAATTATATACAGGAAGGAGCTATAATGTTTTCCCCTCATTTCCTTTGCTGCCCTCCCCATAACACACACACACTGCAATTCTCACAAGACCAAAATACAAAAGAACTATTTAATTTTCAACCACAAAATAATATTTACTTCATTACATCATATGCCTTTAAAACCTTTTACAAGCAAAATAGGAACAAAAATTACAAATATGCAATGCCAGGCTTTTGAAAACCAAGTTCTTTTTAAAATGGAACTATTCTTTTGGGAATGGTCTATTGCTTTTATCTTCCATTGAAATGCAAAGCAGCTG